TTCTTCTGTGACTTATACTAACCAAAATAAGTTATGTTCCTGTAGCAGGGTAGCTGGTCCCTTAAATGAAACTGGGCTCAGCTCTTGCATTCCAGTCAAGTGCACCCTAGCTTGATGTAATGAGTTGGGTGTGGCTGGCCCCAGGGAGTTATAAATGAGAGTTCAGAACACTGATAGCGTTTAGAAAGGAAGAAAGAGTCCTGAGAATATTACAGACTCCAAGGAGAGACTGCTAAATTGGAATTAATTTGCAAACTGGATACAATTAATTTAGGCTTGAATAAAGACTGGGAGTGGATGTGTCATTACACAAAGTAAAACTACTTCCCCATGTTTATTTCCTCCCCCCTCGCCCACTGTTCCTCACATGTTCTTGTCAACTGCTGGAAATGGCCCACCTTGATTATCACTGCAAAAGGTTCCCCCTCCCCTCCTGCTGGTAATAGCTCATCTTACCTGATCACTCTTGCTACAGTGTGTATGTATTGTTTCATGTTCTCTGCATATATAAATCTCCCCACTGTATTTTCCACTGCATGCATCCGATGAAGTGAGCTGTAGCTCACGAAAGCTTATGCTCAAATAAATTTGTTAGTCTCCAAGGTGCCACAAGTATTCCTTTTCTTTTTGCGGATACAGACTAACATGGCCGCTACTCTGAAACCTGAGAATAAAGAGCACTCAGAGGAGGGGATGCCCCTGAAGGTGGAGCAGTGAGAGTTCCCTCATTGAGCAGTGAAGCCAGATCAATGCAGGTGAAAACAGAAGGTACAAAGGTAGTCAGGAGGTCACCTACAAGCTTCCCCAGGCCCAACAGCCATGACTGGAGAGAGCTGAAGGCTGAGAGAAGCAGAGGGAAATGCCTGCTGGCTCTCTGAGGTTGATAGCTAATGCTGAAAGGCCAGAGAGACCTGAAGAGTATAGGTACTTGGAGGGGGTGGAGGCAGTAAATGACTACAAACACAAGGGGAAGGGAACCAGAATAAGTTTGAGAACCACTGATCTAAGAGCATTGGGATGCCCAGGGCCTCAGGGGAAAGACCTGTCTGTTGGGCCCAAGAAGTGAAACACACCCATTTTGCTTGGTAGGATTGTCTTGTGGAGTTCTTTCTGCTACTGGAGAGGACATCTCATACTGCCAACAGACACTCCTGTGCTAGCGGAGGCATCCACCCAAAAACCAAGCTGTCAAGTGAAGCGTCCACGGATTGGGGTGCCAGAGTCTGCCGCTATGTTCTGTGAGCAGTCCCGGAAACGTCGGGAGTGGGAGAGGGTGGAGAAGAAGAGGCAATCAGAACTGGCAAGGCCAGAACGGAGCAATCAGGATGACCATCACCCTTTCCCACTGGAGTTTGTGACAGACACATGACAAGAGTGGTAGGGGAGGGAAGATGTAGTTGCTTCAGTGACCACATAGAACTTTGGCTAGCGAAAGGAACAGTTGAGGCATCTGAGATCCAAGATTGGTCTCATCCCCCTTCTTGTGTACCAGAAAACAGTTTGAATACTTGAAAGGCTGTGGGGACTGGCTCCATTGCACCTCTCTGCAGGGGGAGTCCACCTCTAGGGTAAGAATACTGTTGTGAGAGTGATGCCTGGCATGGGATCAGCACAGGGGATGTGGAAGAGGCAGCGTCACAAACTCAATGGTATAGCCATGTCGAATGATACCCAGGACCCATTTTGTCTGTTGTTATTACTCTCCATGCTGTCAGAAAGAGTTTGAGATGGCCCCCAAAAGGGGTGGCTGGTAAAACCATTGGGGTGCAAAGTGGTTGATGGCTCTCTAGTTGCACTCAGAAATATCGCTTAGCAAAGATTGGGCATGTTGTGCAGATGACTTCATCATCAAAACAGGTGGATGAGATCTGTGGGCCTTTGGGCATTTCTGTGGAGGCTCATAGATGGTAGAACTGGGGCCATGAGCTCCAATATGGCCTACCTGGTTGATCCTGCTGTTGAAGCAATGGTGCCCAAGGAGTCAAGTACCAGTGGCTCCTGGGCTGAGCTAAGGTAGGGTATTGCCATGGTGCCACTGGGACCTTCTGATAGGTATGTCTTCAGAACGGGCAGCAGACCATGCGTAACATCTGGATCCTCAAGCTCAGAGGAACCAGAGTCCTGTGCAAATGGTGGTGCCAACAAAATGGGGTGTGTTGGAGGAATTCAGCCAGAAGGTGGCAGATTCGAGACAGTGGATGGGGCTCTCTTAGTTGGCAAGAGTTCTGGAACTCATGGAAACCTCATCCTTTCCAGGGGAGGACAGCTGATGAGGTCCAGGAGGATTTTTGAGTCTCCCTGAGTCAACAGCTCCTGGTTTATGGACAGAACTGGGGCCAGTAAAGGGATCCGTCTCTGGACCAATGATGCCGATGCAGGAGTGGTATGTGGGTCTGGAACTGGAGGGTCTGTTGAGCAACTTTTTGTTGCTCTTGTGGGACTTGGAATTTGGTGCTGCTCCGTGGCCGGAACTTGTGGACAGCACAGCATCTTTCTTAGACTGGAGAAAGACTTACTGTCATGCTTATGTGCATGCTCCCATGACTCACGACTAGGCCTTGACGCAGGGTCCATAGCACTGGTACCAGTGGAGCCGGACTGAGGATCCATGGTAGGAGACACTCTCTTGGACTGTTCAGGCCAATGTACGGGGGAAGGGGGGGGGTTCCCTGACCAGGATCTGACTGCAGCCCCATGGTAACTTGCATGAGGTGCTTTTTAGGACAAAAGACTCTGCCTTCCCATGAACAAGCAGGGAAGGAGAGGCTGATACCGCATCTGGACACGGTGTGGGCTTCCCCCAAATAGTACAGGCAGTGTTGGTACTCATCGCTGAGGGAAAACAAGCATGGGCAGAAAGGGCAGACTTTGAATCATGGACTTTTTGGCATAATCCAGTACCGGGGGGAATTGTTCGGCAGAGAACCGCAGAAGCACAGTCCCAAGTCCTTAATCGTACCAAACTTTTAGAAACAAGAAAATTGCTCCAGAAACAGCAAAAATCTTGACTATATACAGTACCAAGACCTGGGTGCTGTAGGGGGTAGAGGGAGTTGGGGATTGTTTGCCAGGTAACCGCCGAAGTGAGATCTCCAGCCCTTAAACCTACAAAACTTCTAAAAACAATAAAACCACTACAAAAACCTGAAGAATCCTGACTAAATATGAAAATAAAAAAAGTTTTTCTTAAAAGTTTTGGAAAATGCATTACTAAGGACAAGAGGACAGCAGAAGCTCTGACACAGACCATGTGGCGGTGAGAAGGAACTGAAGATGTCTACCCCACCTTTTATCACCTTGGGCGAAACCATAAGGCAGTGCAAGGGTGCATGCATGGACCGATGGACATAACTACTTTGAAAAGCTCTGGTTCCAGGCATTTGCGCATAACCCTCAGTGGAACACTGATTGGGACCATCACTTGACGAAGAATAAAAGATTTCTTGAACTGAATGCAACTCAAGCAATTGATTCTTGTTTCATATACTTAAATAATTAAAGAGAATGCTTAAGTGATGGTAGAATTGTAGTTTTCCATTCCAACACCCTTTTCAGTCACTCATAACCATGGAAGGATCAGAGCTGCCAAATTTGGAACTTCAGCCATATCCACACTGAAAATGTCCATGTTTGGAAGTCTTTGGATCCAGGCTTTTGGTTTGACCTGTTACAGATCAAGGCTTCAGCTGCTAGGCTCTGATTCATCTTGGAACATCACCAATATTTGTCGGGAAGGTGGTCTTAGAAATTTGGTATGGGCCAATCTTAACTCACCAGCTTCTAAAACAAATTCTTTTTAAGATTAAAATTTCCATGCCTGGCCACAGAGGGAGAGGAATTTTGAAGTGACTTGATTCAGTTACTTTTGAATAATGCAAACTTGAAAATATACAATGGTTGTAGCCCTACCCAGTAGCTATAGGGCCATGATATGTGGGATGGTAAGGGAGCTGACTTCTGATACATATGTGCTCTAATGCACTAAGGACTGATCCTGCCCCGCTGCTTGAGCAAGGGTGAAAAGGCTCCCTACTCCATTCCCGCCACACCAAGTTCACCCATTCAGCGGAGAGCAGGTACCAGCCCTAAAGGCTGCATGGGGCACGAGTCACTTTCAGGTTTACACTAGTGTAGATGGTGGATTCTCTGTAACTTGAAGTCTTTAAGTCATGATTTGAGGACTTCAGTAACTCAGCCAGAAGTTATGGGTCTATTACCGGAGTGGGTGGGTGAGGTTCTATGGCCTGCAATGTGCAGGTCAGACTAGATGATCATAATAGTCCCTTCTGGTCTTAAAATCTATGAGTCTAATAAAATACATAGGATATACTGTATGGACAACTTTGAAATTAGAAAATTCAACTGCTTTACTTTTCTAACTTTTGTATGGAGAATACTGGTTTTGGCATGTAATGTGAATGGTATCATGCTTTTATAAACTATGTAGAAAAAATCAGGGCATATAGGATATTTTATTTTAACAATTTGCAGCATGGCAAATGTTAGCACATAGTGTCAGAATTATCACTACTTCAAGGACCATTGCTGTGAATGCTAATAGGAAATGTTTACAAAAGACATATTGTTTCCATCTATGTTTATTAAAAAAAGTAGTGGTAAGAATGTGCTTGGTAATAATAGCTCTTTGGTTTCACTTATGGCTTTATACCTGCCTATTTTTATACTACTGGGTGTGTGTGTCTGGTGGTGGTGTGGGGATGGAGGGGTTGTTTTGTTTTTACTATAAACATTGATAAAGTACAGGTAAATGTACTCCTAATGAATTATTGGTTACAAGTAATTGCTTATTTGAGTATATAAAAGTGTTATAATCCTAGTGTTTAACTAATTGGAAACATACACAAAATAATATATGGTTGTAAATTGTTTAAAAGTAGAAAAATGAAGCAGTTTATAAATTCCATTGGGCTTCATTTTGTTTTTACATACAGAAAATTCAGAACACCAAAGAGCTCAAGACTTTAATATGTTCTTTTCAGGAGGAATAAGTGATGGCATTATATGCTCAACACCAGAAAATTGGAAGGGAAAGGACCTCCTCAAAATTCCTTATGAGATGTACGGGGCATGCCCTCCCACAGTCGCTAATATTCATCTGGCTAATATTCATCACCATAACTTTGAGCACAGAAGTTCTCTGAAGCACACTCAGCACAATGAAAATGGAGAAAGTAGCCGTTCAGACTGTGAACCTAAACCAAAGCCAAGGCCAGTTAGTTTGCGTCATGCAATTGCCACTGTAGTAATAACTGGAGTTGTCTGTGGAATTGTGTGTCTAATGATGTTGGCAGCTGCTGTGTATGGTTGTGCCTATGCTGCAATTACTGCTAAATACCACAGAGAACACTTGGCCCCAGTAACAGAGCAGGGGAGTCCCGAGGAAAAAGAGCCATTTGGTAGTTCCTTGGCTTAAGTTACTTTTGGTCTTTGGTTTCACCCAAGTAAGACTCCTCGTTTCAATCAGAAGCTTAGTGTCAGGTATGACTGATTTACTTGTTACTCCTGTATTTTGCTTTTTCACATTAAAAAAGTTTCTGTAAAATAAGCATTCATTCCTGGGAAGCAATTTATGTTGAGAGGTGAAATAAATATATTATTTATGTTTTGTGCATGCATACATTCTGAAGTATTACATGAGGATGTGAGTTTGAGATTAATTAAATCTTCATGTAAACACTTTCAAATATTCTGTTCTACATTAACTAGTCCACTGTGTAACATTAGTATAATTCATGGCAATTACAAACAGACAGTCACTAGCCATCACAATGGAATGAAAAATGCAAAGCAATTTTAAGTGGCTTGGTAAAGCTTGCCTAATATGTACCTAAGGAATATATGGCAGAACAGTTACCTCTAAATACAGGTCATACTATCTAATAGTAGAACTGTCCAAATTATTCACTGCAAGTAACTGACCCAACAATTTTTTAAAAATAAATAATTTGCAAACACATTTTCTACTATTCGACCGGCTCTACTAGATAAACCATTTTAATATTGCACCCATGATGTAGTTTATGACATGGAAAATCCATAATTAGCTATAGCAGTTCAGTTCTAGGCCTTGTCCAAAGATAGAAACATCTTTCTCTTACTTGGGGAACAGTAAAGAGGAGCTGGCAAGATGGAAGTGAAGGAGAAATGGTTAACATGACTGCATCATGGCATTCTGATAAAAGGATTTGAGAAATGGCACGGACAGAAGCAAAAATAAAATATAGACATAGAAGCTACACTTTCTTCCTCAACAAAGGACTAATACACAACCACCACAGACACTTCTGATGGTCTTAATTCATAAAACTTCCATTTGGCAACTCTCATAACAGGAATAAAATAATGGATTTGGTACTGAAACCAATACAATTATGTGTTTGTATACTGTTATTCTCTCTCTTATGTCTGGCTAGATTCCCCGTAGGATGTATCCTAGCAGAGGAATCCATAAGCAGAAAGTTTGCTATAAGAGGAAGTTGCAGTCACAAAATCCTCAACACCAGAGAACCAGAAGGGAAAGAATATTCTTAAACTGCAGAAACATTTTTCAAATAAAATATTTGGCTAGGGAGTTCACTGCACCATTTAAATCTAGTATTAGATTATTATAATATATATGTCTAAATTTTCTAGCCCGGATTTTAGTTTCAGAATTAGCATTTTGTAACAAAAAAAAAAAGGAATTTTATTTTAACTAGTGTAGTGATGCAAGGGTATTGGATGGAATTTTACCATCTGTGCACTAAATGAAGATCCTCAGTGCCAAACCAAAGTCAAAGGCTCTTTACTGGTGGGAATTACAAGGGAGCTGGGAGACACATACACACAAGCTAAATTTAGGGTCCAGGGCACCCATGCAATTAGACTGCAGATGCAAATGTGAAAAATGCTAAAGCTCCAATTGACTTCAGTGGAGCCAGGATTTCACTGACACTGCTCCCAGTAACCTGGGACTCAGCTATGGCCCTTTAAGTACAAATACCCTCTGCTAACCCCTTAAAAAAACCCAACCCAACCTACCAAAACCTTTTAGACCGTCTTCCTAAAGAAGCAAAAAAAGATACAAAAATGATTTTTAAATATTTTTTAGGTCACCTTTAAGCTGCTTTTGGCATTTTCATGTGCACTTAAGGCGTTAAGTCCATGTGAAATTCTGCCATAAAGCAAGATACTTCTTACTTCCATTAGTGCATTCCTTTGTATGACTGGAGTAGGCCAATCCATACTAAATGTGTCATATACATTCTAACATGCTGTATGTTAAAAAAATGCAGAAACATCACATTATGCTTTGATAAAATTGTATACATTTATAAATTCAGCCCACGGTTGCCACAAACAGCCATTTAAGATGATAATGTTTACCAACAGTTTAAATGTCAACAGAGGAAAATATAGAGCCAATCATTTAAATTAACAAATGCAAACTTACAATTTTGCAATATGAAAAATGTAATGTTTATCTGTAAAAATAAAATTCAGATGAAAGACACAATTTGCTGAGTATTCTGTGAGAACCACAAATTATCTTTCACAACCACTGCAGTTCAGAAGGGATGATTTTCAAACGCCTTACAGATTATTTTTAGCTACTCATTGTATACTGCTGAATCCAGGGATTCCCTACAGAAATGGCCTTAATTTGTAAAACTATGGACATCTGCTGCTGCTGAAATAATGAGTTATTTGCACAGATTTATTTTGTCAGTAAAGGTAATTGACAAACAGTTTCAACAATGCAATGTAGAGTATTTCTATAAACACAGTGTTTCCCCCGCAAACTCTGGAAGAGCCCCTTTATTCCTGAAAACATCAGGATAGCTTGTTCACTGCTTGCCATTTGGAAAGACAGCTGAAAGAAATGGATTGTACTATTCTTATCTTTCAAACAGGGGTCACCTTGTCACTGCTTTCAGAATTGATACCTGGAAAATGGAGACGAAGAAAGTGGTCCTACTCGCAAATTTGTTCCCCATTTAGAATAGGAGACAAAACCACACAGATTTCACTTTGTTCTCTACAGAAAAAGCCCATTAATGGTTATACATGGAGAGAAACACAAGTACTGAGTTTTCCATACTGAGTGCTGTATGCAAGTCTTTCCATCCAAAACTTGCAGAAGGATAATAAAAATGTAACTTCATTACCCCCAAGTGATCCCACTTCCAATCAGAGAGAGAACGCCCCTCCTTGTTTTTCAAAGTAGGCAGCTCAATTACATTATACATAGTGTATCTTTCATTTGCAACATTAACAAAATAAGACACCATTGTTTGCATAATAATGACCTCCTATTTGCTGCTGGCCAGGTGACAAAAGTACAGAGGCTCCCTTTAGTTCAGCATTGAAAAAGTATGCTTATTTGAACCTCTTTAGTCTGCAAAACAGGTCTGGAAAGGTCATATTAATAACATTCACACAAGATTCTTGGTATTTCCTGGTTTTGTGTTACCTGAAATATGACTGCATGCGCCCCTGGTAAGGCAGCCAGCAACATCAATCACCTGGATGTGGCATTGACCTAGGGTTGCCAACTGTCCAGGATTGACCTGGAGCCTCCAGGAATTGAAGATTAATCTTCAATTAAAGATTATGTCATGTGATGAAATCTCCAGGAATACATCCAACCAAAATTGGCAACCCTACATTGACCCATCATGGGGGAAGGGACAGATGATTCAGTGACAGCAAAGTACATGACTACAGCATGTTATGAACAGAGGTTGAGCCTGTGGTCAGCTCTGCGTGATTAGAGAGCGATCGACAGATTTAGGGCCAAAGTTTTCCATGGACTTCTTGCCTTTGTGGATATTGCAAGCTGAGTTTCTTCCACAGGATTGCCATTCTTGCTTCAAGGAGGGAATGAGAATCTGCAAATCCTGTGCGTTTTTGGAAGCAAAAGGTTTTCCATGGAAGGGGATAAACTAGCTAACCCACAGTATTTAATTTATAATGAATGTATTTATTATCCTCATAATTGTAGAAAAACAAACAATACATTGCTTAAAATTCAAACCAATGCAGCATTATCTTAATTTCATAAAATCAATCCAGATTCTTTGCCATGTAATCTAATCAAGGAATTATTTGGTTGGCAGCAATGTCCTTTGGCAAAAACCTCTAGAATCTGCTACTAGAGCACACTGCTAGACCCACACACCTGCTAAACTTTCCCACGTTAGCTACACTTTTCAAAAAGAACAGCCTAACACAACTGGCCAAGAGTGAGGAGCAGAATCCTCTTTGAAGTTCACTATACATATCAGCATACAGATCTACTCTACCTGTGCAGCACTTGGATTCTAGGTGATGAGTGCTATAGAATAAAATAGACAGATTAGGCAGCCGTGGCACTTATGCTCAGAAATTATGATTACATTAACAGAGAAATATCCCCCCTCAAGAAATGTGCTATCAGATAAAATCATCATTTCTAAATGGTGAAGCCAACTGAGAGTGTGTGCATGCGAATGCCTTGAACACTGAATGTACATTCTGCTTTTTACTGAAGCCATTAGTATACATTTCATTATTAGATTTATGAATACGAAGAGAATATGAAAAATGTATTAGGCCCTTTGGAAAAATATAAACTAACTGTTTTCCACTAAAGCATGCTGGGACATGCAAGGGATTTACTAAGCATTACTACTGATTATAATGTTCAGTGGCTTACAAACTGGAGTAAAGATTAAGTAAATCACTGTCTTGACTGATGAGAAAAGCATATATTTTAGAAACTTAGAATCTTTGGATGGCGTTTCAGTGTAATGGCATGTTCATTTTCCCTTAAACACTACTACTAAGAGAGACTTTTTATAGATGAGGTTATTGCTTTAAAGCACTTTTCATGGTTGTAGTCACATTCAAAGTAGTGGCAGGTAAAACAGTGGGTAAGCTGAACAGTACACAATATTTTATGAACAATTAATAGATGCTTTATCCTATCTAATACTTTAACTTAATATACCATAGTGCAGTAGAATGGAGGAAATATTTGACTACGTGGGAGACATTTACAATATACTTCATTCCTAAAGGTAATTGGTACTTACAGAGTGTTAACCTGTTGAAGTTAATGGCTTAATTTACAAGGCTCATATTTGTAAAAGTTTGTGTTGGGACTTTTCATTTACAAAACTCCCAAAGCATATGCTTACAGGCACATCCACATGACACACTGGGTACACATTTTTAAAAATCTGGATCCAAGGCTTTTAAATGTCATTGACTGAGTCTACTGTACTAATTCTTAAACCACTACCAGTATCCTGAGATAACTGACTGAAGAACAGAATTTTTCACAAAGCTAATAATGGATAACTAAATACTAACAGGTAACCTGGAATATTCCCATATTGCAATACAGTCAAACCTCACTTACCTGAAGCCTGGTCAACCGAGAGTCTTAGATAGTTTTGGACAGTTGACATGTCCTCTGAGTTTGATTTCAATGTATAAGTCTTTCTGTGCTGATTTAGGCACAAGGACCTGAACATAGGAGTTTTAATACACATGTGACCAGCACCATAAAGACAGTCACTTTCAAAAGTGACTCATGATTTCGAGTGCCTCCATTTTTGAGTGTCCAACTTGTGACACCTGAAAGGGGCATGGTTTTCAGAGAGTGGGTGTTCACTAAAATCAGGCCCCTTTAAAGTGTCCCAAAAAACAGAGACACCCAAAATCATGGTGTGCTCCAGGCTTGAAACTTAAGCCTGAAACACAGCAGCTGCCACCTCCTTCTTAGCTGTTTATGACTGAGAGGATCTGGCTAACAGACCAATATCTACTAGGTGGGGTCATTCAATTTATCTAAGGGATTATATATTATTTAAATGACTTTCTTTAATTTTGAACCATTGTAATGACTTTGCATAAATGGTGAGCATGTGAAAATAGAAAGTTAGCAAAGAGGTGAGGTGAGGCTGGGAGGTCTATGAAAGAATCAAACAAAAACATGACCTGTCCATGAGTTCAAGTAGACTTGCCTACCTCTGGCTGACTACCAACACAAAGCATCAGGTTAGGATTAAAATATAGGAAGCAGTGATTTAGCACTGAAAGTAGAACTCTGAAGGTGACTGATTAGGAGATTGTACAGAAAAAGTAGTGACTAACAAAGGTTTGGAGATAAAATGATGGAGCATGTTTATGAGCTGATCTATTGAGATTTTAAAACAGTAGACTTTTGTACTTTATTTATTTATTGCATTTCCTCTATTCTAAGGTATTAAAAGATCCTCTTTGAAAAGTTAAATATTTGAAAGGGGAAATGCCCTTGTTCAGTTTTATATGGGATGATTTATTTAAAGCTGTGAAAACCGTATTATATGTTTGCATAATATAGTGTTGTGGTGAGACAGGGAATATTCAATGAAATTGTCAGAGAAAAGAGCTGTTGCTAGGCTACCTTTACCAGAAAATTAGTTTCATTCTCCTACTTTTAATTTAAAAATGGCTTGATACTTTTAAACTTTATATTGTAAGCAAGCAAATGTATATTCAAAAAAGCCCTGAAAATACTTTAAAACAATCTATAGTTTTAAAATAAATAAATTGCACTAATGGATTCCCTTAATTCTAGTAAGCCATTACAACATGTTCATTTACAAGAAATCTTTCACCTGAGAATTTATTTCTATCACCACCACTATATATCAGTGAATAAGTATTAAAAGGATATATAAACAAATAGCTGTCACAGTCAATATGACTTTTCCTTGTGCACTGCAGCATTGACACTATAGAATAAAGTTTCTAGTTTCTCAAAACTTTAGACTATTTTTATTCCCGTGGCAAAGAATAGTGAGCAACCCAATACACATTGTGTCCTTGTGCTCTGACATCAACTACTATGGAATTAAATGCACCAGCTAAATGTGGCTTGTTATTATGTGATACTTGAATGACAGATTCCTTAGAACTTTAAATACCACATGCCTATAGACAGATAATATACTGTGTAAAGAAATTAATCAGAGTTACACTATGTACTCTTTTTAACTTCTGCCTCTTTGTAGTGGGAAAATAATTGCACCATCCAAAGGTTTGGGCCAGATTCTGTCATCCTCACTGAAGCTGAGTAGTAACTTGCTGCATGAATACTGTTATTGTTTTGAAAAGTTGTATTTGCGAAGTAAACAATTAATTAACATGTCCATGAGTGGCAGAATCCGGCCCTTAGGACAAGTGTAACGGGGTCCCTGCAGGGCCCTCCTGGCTCCTGCCAGGCTGAGAAAGTCACACAGAGACCTTGTTGCAGTGCTCACCTGGTGCCTTTATTTACAGGTTGTGTTCCCACCACCTTTCCACCATATACATAGTCCCTTTCTTACAGTCCACCAGCAGGAGAAAGGGGGCAAACTATCTCTCTCTGCTTCCCCTCACTGCCTTTCCTCTACTGCAGCTTCCCTCTTTCCAGCTCCTCCCCTGGCTTCCTTCCCCTGGGGCTTTTCTCCAGCCCCAGCCT